TGGAGGAGGAGGAGGAGGAGGCGGAGGCGGAGGAGGGGGAAAGGACAGAGGACGAGGAGGAAAAGGAGGAGGAGAGAGGAGGAGAGGAGGAGGAGGAGGAACATGGGGAGGAGGAGGGGGAGGAGGAGGAGGAGGAGGAGGAGGAGGAGGAGGAGGAGGAGGAGGAGGCGGGGAAGCAGGGAGGAGGGGGAGGAGTTGATGGAAGAGGAAGAGGAACATGGGGAGGAGGAGGAGGGAGGAGGAGAGGGGAGGAGGGAGGAGGAGGAGGGAGGACGAGGGAGGAGGAGGAGGAGGAGGAGAGATGGGGAAGCACGCGGTGGAGGGGGAGGAGGAGATGGAGGAGAAAGGGGACATGGGGATGATGATGATGATGATGATGATGATGATGATGATGATGATGATGATGATGATGATGATGATGATGATGATGATGATGATGATGATGACGATGAGCAGGAGGAGGAGGAGGAGGAGAGGAGGAGGAGGAGGAGAGGAGGAGGAGGAGGAGGATTAGGAGGTTGAAGAGGAGGAGGTGAAAGAGGAGGAGGTGATGAAATGATATGAGCCAGCGGCCTGAAGCCAGTGGTGCCTTGAGAAGAGCGCGTCGGCGACGGCCCAAGAGGAGGCGACGAGGAGCCCACGGACACCCCGAAAGCAAGCTGCCCAGGCGATGGCCCCCCCGAGGAAGAAGGCCACAGTCGGGCATCCCGCGGCCCGCGGAGACCGGACCCCCGGCTATCGCCAGCGGCCGCGCCGCGGACACCCCGAACGGCCAGGCCCCCCACGGCCGCCCCAGCCTTTCGAGCCACGCCCAGCGCCTCGGCGGCCGCGCCCCAGCCAAGTCAAACTCGCGGCTCCAGCGCTCGGCACGGCCCTACAGACCGAGCTCTCAGCGTGGGGCCGATGCACCCTCGATGAACGCCACCTCGTACCTCATCAAGTCTCCGAGGCTGGCGTTGAACTCTGCGCGACTCCTGTGTTGAGGAAGTGGGCTGCGACCTGGGCCACGAGCGCCTCGATCTCGTCCGCCCCCAGGCGAAACCCACCAGGTCCTCGGCCAAGGAGGCGCCGACTGCGCCTGCGCCCATGATTTCGTTGACGTGGCACCCGATCAGGCCCTGCTCCAGCATGGCTTCGACCAGGGGGGTGTCCGAGCCATGCAACAGGTGGAGCGTGCCCACGTCCACGTGCTCGCCGCATTCGACATCGTCGAAATCGTCGTGGACAGCCTTGGCCTTGAAGGCCTCTGCCAGCGCAGCGTAATCGTCATGAACAGCCGCGCATCTGGATACCTCGCTGGGGCCGATGCTGGCCCGCTCCTCGTCCATGTCCAGACCGACGTCCTTCGGCGCCTCGTCGATGCCGTAGTCGGACTCGTCGGCCGACTGCGCGCGCGTCTCCAGCTGGATGCCGAAGTCATCGTGCAGCCTCCCCTCCAAGTTGGGCAGCCACGCGATCCGCTGCACTGCGGGCAGCTCCAGCTTGCCGAACTGGAAATCGTCGTTGTCGCACTGCGGCGCCGCGGTGATCAGTGACGGTAAATACCCGACGCCTTCCTCGACGTCGATCTCATCCGCGATCTCCTCTCCGACGTCCTCAACCTCCCTGGTCACCGTGCTGTCCGAGACCTCGGCCAGCCGTTAGTCCGCAGCAAAGCCGTCCGCAAAGGCGGCGGCCTGAGAGCTCCAGTTTGACGCAAGCCAGCATCCGGGCGCCACCCCGATGCCGACGTCTGCCAGGTCGAACTTGCCATGCTCGATGTCAGTGTCCTCCGCGAAAGGCTGCTCGGCCTCCGCCTTTGGGCTGCCACCGCTGCCCGCGAAGGCCAAAAGCCGTGGCCCCGCCGCGGCCTCGGCGATGGCCGCAGCCGAGGCGCGGGCGAAGCCCTCGGCGGGCGCTTGCGCCGCGTGCCCGGCCGCGCTGCGGCGGTGGCGGCGGCCTCCGCAGACGCGTTCGCCAAGGGCCGCAGCTTGCAGCGCCCGACGGGCTGCCGGCTCCCGGCCCCGCCAGGAGCCTGGCCCGGGAGCGCCCCCGCCGCCGCAGATTCGCCGCGGGCCCCCGCCTCCGGCGCGTCCAGGCGCCGTTGCCTGGCCGCTCGGCGCGCCGCAGTGGGCCTCGTCCCGAGACGTTCCTGCGATCTGCGAGCCGTGGGCCGCCGCGGCGTCGGCGGCCCTCCGCGGCCGTCTCCGCCCGCCGCCCAGCGCCGCCGCCGTGGCGCGGGCAGGCGCGCGCCGAGCGCGGGGAAAAAAGGCTGGGGCCAGAATGGCTACGGACAGGGAAGAAAGCAAGAGTGACCGTAGCTTGAGGCGCTCGGGTCTGTTCCTACCTCGGCGGCGCTTTCTTCGCGCTGGAGGCCGCCGCGCTGGCGGGGAGATATCTGCGCCAGACTAGGGCTCGGGCAGCGCTGACGGCTGAAGCAATTGCCTCGCTCGTGAGTGCGGCAATCTTAACTTTATTGTGAAGATGGTGGGCGAGCGTCGCGCGCTGGATCGACCGATGCAGCGAGAGGTCGCTGTCGGGATTGGGCGGGTGCGCTGCAGCGGGGCCCCAGGCCCAAGTCGTGACTGCGTTTTGGAGAGGAGGCGGGTCAGGGGCCTGAGGCGACTCGGGAGGGCGGGGCAGGAGAGGTAGTGGGGGAATGGGTCGGCAGCGTGCGCGCAACCGAATGCACAGGGCTTGAGGCCGAGCACGTGCATGCGGTGGGTGGTCGTCCACCCGCCGCTGAGTGTCTTGAAAGTGGCCCAGCGCCTGCCGGGGCGGACAGCTCCATGCGCACGTGTAAGGTCGGCCCATCTCCTGGAAAGCTCTGCGGGCGAGGGCGGCTGAGGGACATTCCGCGCGCGGAGGCGCTTTCGGGGCGCGACCGTGAAGGGCGAGCTGAGAACAGCCTGGCGAAGAATGCGATCAAACACTCGCTGCACCATCGCTCGGCGCGGCGGGCTCGCAGCGACGGATGGTCGAATTTCCGGGCAGCGCGCAGCGCGGTTTGCCGCGGCCATGGCTGCCGCGGAACATTGGGCATGCCTGCGCTTGTGCGCGAGGAGCAAGCGAGCGCTGCTCCGGGCAGAACGGCGCCGACCAGAGCGCCCTCCGGCCAGCGCGCAGCAGTGCGGGCCTTGCTCTCCTCCCGCGCCGCATCGCGCAGGCGAGCGCCCCCCGCGAGGAGCCCGACAGAGCATGTGACGCAGGGCGAAGTGGCGGCAGCGACAGCGGTGACTTGGGCAGAGCGAGTGGCAGGGTGCGGACTCCAGTCCGCCATGGAGAGCCCATCGACGCGGCGAAGCGTGTTCGGCGGCAGGCTGAGCATCTGGTGGAAGGTGTACTGCTCACGATGCACCGTAGTATCGTCGAGGGGAGAAAAAAGCGGGGCGGCGTTGCTAAGCGTGGACAGGGCTGACGTGTTATATGAGCGAGCCGTGGCGTCACTGCCACTCTGCACAATATTGAGAAGGTTACCTCTTTGCCGTCGTTCCTGCCCTTGGGCGAACCATTGAGAAGCGAGGGGGGGGGCGGGGCGTCCGAGGAAGGCCCCGAGGTGCCGGGTTCGCCCCGCAAGCGACAAAAACGCCACTGGAAGGACAGAGCTCGGCCAGGCGGGAGCGGGCTCGGGGCAATGGTGTTTGGGGCTGCCGCGGCCCAGGGAGGCACAATCACGCATTCGCGAGGCCTGAGGGGGAGGGGCGCGAGCTCTTCCGCGGCGCGGAACGGCTCAGAAGCGCGGCTCAGCGTGTCGAGCTGGTACGGGAGCAGGCCGACGTCGTCCGCGCAGCCGTCGGCGTAGCCCTTGTCGTAGTCTGGCGTGCCGTCGGGGAGCTCCACGAACGAGACGATGTGGCGAAGCAGCGGGTCCATCGCCATCGCCCGCGCCGAACCGCTGGCAGGGCGGCCCTGCGCAACTCCAGCCTCGATCGCGAACGTGACGTGGCGTACCCCATCTATCTTGACGTAGCTGTTCGGCGCGTGGCGCGCCGAGCGGAAGGGGTTCAGGTGGCCGATCGGCAGGCCGAGCCGCTCGAGCGCAGCAAAACGCCCTGCCCGTCCAAGGGGCGGGAAAACCGCCGTTGGTGAAGGTCGGCTTGTGCAGGGCGGCGTCGGGCACGGTGCTGGCGCGGCGCATCTCGGCATCGAGGCGAACGACGTGCTTGGTGAAGTTGCGGCCGACGACGAAACCCTGCTGCGAAACCCTCGTGCGACGGCATACAGATGAAGATGCGGTCGATGGCGGACGCGTTGTAATCGGCTATGTTGAAGCGCGTGGGCAGGTCGGACTCGACTTCGAGCATAGTGTCGAACAACGATTTCCAGAACGGCTGCTGCTGACGAGCACTGTTGTCAAGAGCGAGGCGTGCGTGCTGAGGTTGTGGCTACAGGAAGATGTTCGGCGGGCGGCTGGCAGTGTTGAAGTCACCGATGGCGATGAAAGTGCGAGTGCGAGGAAAAGAGGAGAAGAAGGAGGAGGAAGAGGAGGAGGAGGAGGAGGAAGAGGAGGAGGAGGAGGATGAGGAGGAGGATGAGGAGTAGGAGTGTAGGAGGAAGAGAGGAGGCGGAGGAGGAGGAGGAGGAGGAGAGGAGGAGGAGGAGGAGGAGGAGGAGGACGAGCAGGCATCAGGAGGCCCGAGGAGGCCCTGGAAAGCCTCTCAATGGCCCGAAAGAGGCCCTAAGACGAGGGGAACACAACACGGCATCATCGTAGACTTTCGGAGCTCCAGAACTTGACGTTTATGCCGTTTCTTATTCTTTTTCTTCGTCTTCGTCTTCTTCTTCGAACGAGGCGGGCCCTCTTCTCCTCCACCTCCTCTCCGCCTCCTCCTCCCTTCCCCCCCCTCTCATCCTCCTCCTCCTCCTCCTCCTCCTGGCTTCCTCCTCCTCTGCTTCCTCCTCCTCCTCCTCCTGCTCCTGCTCCTCCTCCCTTCCTCTTCCTCCTCCTCCTCCGCTCTCCCTCATTTCCTCCCTCCCTCCCTCCTTCCCTCCTCCTCCCTCCCTCCTCCCTCCTCCCTCCTCCTTCCTCCCTCCTCTTTCCTCCCTCGTCCCCCAGTCCCAGGGATGCCGTCCTCCGTGGAGTGCTCGTGGATCTTCTCGGCGAGCATCGGCAGCAACTTCTTGTGGAAATTCTCCGCGCACCACTGCGCCGCCTCCGCGAGTGTTGGAGCACGGCAGCAAAGGAGCTACAAATGTGGAGCGGGGCAATGCACAGTGCTCACATCCTCGAGAAGCTCATCGCTAGCGTGAGGCAAGAGAACCGAGCGCCTCACGACTGTAAAGCACAATCACAACACACATGTGTAGACAAGGCAGTCACAGCCACGAGAGACGCATCACGACTGTTGAATAGGACGCACACGCGCAACGCGACCGGCCGCATCACGATTGTGAAGCAGGAGCAAAAAGACCCTCCATGGGGCACCACGACGAGACACGAAACCACAGTTCGCTGCACCAGACGCGAAACCACCATTTTGGGTGTGCCGGCCTATCCGCTGCAAAACGGCGTGCCTGCCCATCCGCTTTCGTTTTGGGTCCGGCGGGGACCTCCAGCCTCTCGCCGGAGGGATCCTCGAGGCATGCTCCGGGGAGGGCTTCCTGGAACATGCATCCGGCGCCATGCGCCGGGCCCAGCAGGGCCTCTGGGGTGGACTCGGCAGTCCCCCCGATTCAAGGGGGGCAAAGGGGGGGGAGGGGAGAGAGGACGCAACCGGACAAGACATCGCCAACCAAGACCACGGGAGAGGACGCAATCAAGACACTGTTAACAAGACCGGGAGAGGATGCAACCGAGACAATATCAACAAGATATCGCGTTCATATAGCTTTCTATTCAATGTTGATCTCCCGCAGGTGTCTTATACCGTCCTACTTATGTAAGTATGTATACGTGTTTGTGTGTATATATAGATATGTGTGTGTCGGCTGTGCCCGGTGCGGAGCGACCCCCCCTGGGATGCACGAATCCCTCCAGGAAGCACCACTGGCACCGCCAATGCGGGCCGGTACGAAACCCCGCGGAATGCAGGGACCCCCCCAGGACGCACCGCCAGTGCGGCCGGGTACGACCCCCCCCCTTGCCGTCGCTCGGACGTCCCTTCCCCGTGCATTTTTCGGTTTAGTGCGTTTTTTTTGCCAGAAGGATGCTCCTCGAAGGTCCTCGCCGAGAAAGAACATGCACACGTCCGAGCGATGCCAAGCCCCAAGATGCCCGGGGATGCGGTTCTGGGGGCGTGCATGTGGGAGCTCCCGTGGGCGCACGTGCGAGCGTCTGGGGTGCTTCGGGGCGCTGGGGGGGTTGCCTGCGACGGCGTCGGCGTCGGCGTCGGCGGCAGAGTAGGCGACGGCGACGGCGACGACGACGACGACGACGACAACGACAACGACAACGACGACGACGACGACGACGACGATCTCATCGGTACTCCTCCGCGCTCCCCGGGTCTCCTCCCCACTCGCCCTCCTCGGCCCTCCTCGGCACTCCTCCCGACCCCTCCACACTTCATCGCACTCCCCAGCTCTCCCTCCCACTCCTCCGGACTACTTCTCACTCCCTCCCACTCCTCCGGACTCCTTCTCACTCCATCGCACTCTTGGGGAGTCCTCCCCGTTCCTCTCTGCTCCTGGCCCAATCCATCGCCCTCCTCGGTCCTCCTCGGCACTTCTCGAGACTCCTCCCCACTCCATCGCGCTCCCTTGAACGAAGGACTGCAAAAAAAAACCACTCCTCCAGATTCCTCAACACTCCTTCGTTTTTTTTTTTTTTTTTTTTTTTTTTTTGCAATCCTTCGTTTTTGTTTGCACTCCTCCCCACTCCTCCGGATTCCTCAACACTCTATCGCACTCCTTGGGGGTCCTCCCCGCTCCTCCCGAGTCCTGCCCACTCCACTCGCACTCCTCGGCCCTCCTTTTGCCGCTCCTCCCGCCTCCTCCACACTCCATCGCGCTCCCCAGCAGTCCCCCCCCCACTCCTCTGCACTCCTCCCCACTGCATGGCATCCTTTGGGGGTCCGCCCCGCTCCCTCCGACTCCTCCCGACTCCTTCCTGCGGCGACGACGACGACGACGACGACGTTCTCGACGACGATGTCGACGACGATCTGAAAGATGATCTCGACGAAGATCTCGACGACGACGACGACACGAGGCCCAGCCTCCGCCGCCTCCGCCGCCGCCGCAGCCGTCGTCGTCGTCGTCGTCGTCGTCGTCGTCGTCGTCGTCGTCGTCGTTGTCGTCGAGATCTTCGTCGAGATCATCGTTCAGATCGTCGTCGAGATTGTCGTCGAGAACGTCGTCGAGAACGTCGTCGTCGTCGGCGGCGGCGGCGGCGTCGTATCCCTCGTCGTTGTGGGCATCGTCGTCGTCGTGATCGTCGTCGTGATCTTCGTCGTCGTGATCGTCGTCGTCGTTGCGTCATCGTCATCGTCGTCGTCTTTTGCAAGGAGAGCAATCAACGAACAAGATGGGGAGGATGGGCAAGGAGGAAAAGAAAAAAGACAGGGGGAGTTTTACAGTGTGCGCGGTCGGGCAGTCCGAACGTGTGGCCGCGAGATGAACATGCTAGCCACCCCAGGTGTTGCGAAAGGACAAGTGCACTCTGTATCATGACATGAATGTGGATCGGCTAGACGCAGGAGTGACCCTGGGTAAGAGTGACCTTTGGTGCGCGGTATTTTTTGGGCCGCGGGGGGGCCAAACACAAGCGCGCAAGACGCTACTATCGTATCACGTTTGGCGATCGGGGGACCCCATTTGGCCGGCACCAACGGTCACTCCCGCGAAAGGCCACTCTTACGTCTAGTCGAGGAAAGAATTGCGCGCAGTCACCCCTGCGCGGCACTGGCGGCGCGGGTCAAAACGTGCATGCCCCCGGTCAGAAGCCAAGCAAGCTCCAACCCCACGGGGGGGTGGCCAGGCTTCGGGCATGGCGGGGACACCAAGTCGCCGACGGATCTCCTGGCCAACCGCCCAAACCTGCCAGCCGGTCCACCCGAGCAACCAGAATCCACACGCTCCACCGCACTCCCCCCCCCCGCTCCCACAGGAGCCCCCCCGCCCCAATGCCCCCCTCAGGAGAAGGGGGGGGGGGGGGGGCGGCGGTGCGCCCCGCACGAGACCGCCCGGGCAGGAGAAAGGGGCCCCCGGAGGCCGAAAAAGCTTGCCAGACGACCTCGGACAGACGAAGGTCCCCCCCCGTGCTGTGCTGGTGGCTGTGGTTCGTAGTGCACGTGCAGGCACCCGTCCTGCCCCACCACCTCGGCTGAGGGCCCCAGGTGAAGGGGAGGCCCCCCGGCGCCCGTGCGGGAGGCCCCCGGCCACCTCGGAGCTCCGGCAGCCCTGGAACAGCGCGAAAGCGCTCGCCGGCCTGTCGACGAAGCTGAGCGGGATCTTCAGCGCCTGCTGGGCGCCGAGGATCGGACAAAAGCCGGACCGGAAAAGGTCGGATCGGTTGGGTAAGTTGTATACCTAAGACGAGATCGAGCTCATGATGCGAGTGACCCAGGATGCGTACCAAGAACTCTGCAGTATCTGGCGGCCTTCGTTAGGCAGCCTGGGGGATCCTGGAACTCTTGGAACACCTCATTGTCATGACATATTGCTCCTCCGAGCATCGGTATAAAGCCTCAAGAGACTTGAGATCGATCCTCATCCTCTTCCTCCTCCATTTCCTCCTCCTCCTCCTCCTCTTCCTCCTTCTCCTCCTCCTCCTCCTCTCCTCCTCCTCCTCCCCTCTCCTCCTCCCTCCTCCTCCTCCTCCTCTTCCTCCTCCTCCTCATCCTCCTCCGCCTACTCCTCCCTCCACCTTCTTCTCCGCTTCCCCTCGCTGGACCCGCTCGTTCCTCCTCCTCCTCCTCCTCCTCCTCCTCCTCCTCCTCCTCCTCCTCCTCCTCCTCCTCACCCCTTCTCCCCCTCTCTCTCCCTCCCCGCCTGCCTCGTCCTCTCCCTGCCCGCGCGACGTCCCCACCTCCTCCTCGCGCCTGGAGGTCACCCTTTGAGGTGGTGGTGGTCACGTGAACATGGCCCGAGCTGTGGGCAAGGTGCAGCGCTGACAGCTTCACCAATCGGCCCTTCGTGCTCCAAAGCGTTCGTTTCAAGCCACGAGAACTGGAGCCCTGTGGAGGGCCACGAGATGTGTGAGCGGAGAGCCGAGCTGGTGAGGAGAAGGCATGCGGGCACTGGCACTGGGGCCTTCGGCTGAGCTCCCTGCGGGATGACGATGGTGACGATGACGACGCTGATGATCGATCATGATGCTGCTGCTGATGATGCCGATGATGATGATGATGCGGAATGATACTGACGTTGATGCTGTTGCTGATGACGATTACGATGCTGATGATGCTGCTGCTGCTGATGATGATGACGCTGATGACGATGACGATGGTGTTGATGACGATGCTGATGGTGCTGATGATGATGCTGAGGCTGCTGACGATGACGACGATGACATTGATGCTGACGCTGCTGCTGATGTTGATGTTGAGGTTGATGATACTGATGCTGATGATGAGAAAGAGCGTGTTCTACCGCTGCTGGCGGAAAACCGGGGGGGGTCACTACCGGTTCGAACCCCTCCCCCCCCCCCCGCCCCCCTCCGGAAAACCGGGGGGTGTCCCTACCGTTCGAACCCGCCCCCCCCCCCCCCCCCCTGCTCCATCATGAAAAGGGGGGGGGGTCGCTACCGGTTCGAACCCCTCCCCCCCCCCCCCCCCCTCCGGATCCGGAAAACCGGGGGGGGTCACTACCGGTTCGAACCCCCCTCCCCTCGAAAACCGAGTGGGGGTGCGGACAGTGGTGGGGACGGTGTTGGTGGGGACAGTGGTGAGGGGATAGCGGGACAGTGGTGGGGACAGTGGGACAGTGGTGGGGACGGTAGTGGTGGGGACAGTGGTGGGGACAATGGTGGGAACAGGGGGGACAGTGGACAGTGGTGGGGACGGTGGTGGTGGGGATAGTGGTGTGGGGACAGTGGGAATGAGGTGGAAACAGTGGGACAGTGGAGGGTACAATGTTGGTGGGGACAGTGGTGAAGGCGGTGGCGAGGACGGCGGTGGGACAACGGGACAGAGGTACAGTGGGGACAGCGGTGGGGACAGTGGGGACAGTGGTGGGAACAGTGGGACAGCTCAGTGGGACAGCGGAGGAGTCAGTGGGACAGTGGGGACAGTGGGGATAGTCGGGCAGTGGCTGGGGCCGTGGAGACAGTGGGGAGAGTGGAACCGTGGTGGGAACAGTTCTGGGGACAGCGGGGACAGTGCGACAGTGGTGGGGCCACTGGTGGGGACAGTAGGGGCGGTGGTGGAACCAGTGGGGACAGCGGTGGTGAGGACAGTGGTGCTGGGAATACCAGTGGGGGATGTGATG